GGACTGTCTTCAAAAACATCTGCTTTAGGCCTGAGATGTTTACTGCAGCGACTTGTTTTGTCTCTCCAACATGTGCACAAGGCTTAGTCTGTGGGTCTCTCCTTCTAAATGCAGACTGCAGTTTAAAAAGTATGTTATGGTTGTTTTATTGTGAAAGTCATGCTCTGTGTTGTTGTATGTATCCGAGCTTTTGAAAGAGGGCATTTGAAAGAAAATCATAAAATAAAAGCATTAAATGAATTCAATCTGAAGAGACCAAAGACAGACAATTATTACATCAGGTAAAGGATAACGCATATTACGCAGGTCATTATCGGAAAATAAGTACCGACAGGGCAAAGAGGACCCCGACGCGTAATATACGTTATCCCACTTATTACACTGCTTTATACCAACAGAACACACAACATAAACTTCAGTCCACTTTTAGGAATGCCAAAAGGTTTATTTAATGACAGAAAATAAAATAGTTCCCAAAGGCTTTCCCGTGGCTATGCTAGCAACAGTTAGGCTAGCAACTTCCAAACTAGAACTCTCTGGAACTGCATGAAAACTGAACAAAGAAACCTGAACATCAGCGGTGAGTGACCCAAACATAAACTAAACCTAAATCCATAATTCGATCCTCTGCAAATGTTCCTAAAATGTGCCGGTATCTTAAAATGTGCCGTATCTACTTCCGGGTTTTTTGGGATCGCCTTTTCTCGCATTACATCAGTGTTTTTGTCATGAAAACGTAAACGGAAAATTTGGAAAACCGTGCACTTGTATTAAGACTGGATATGTATAAATTACTCTCCGATTAACATTTCATTGCGTTGATTGAGTTTTTCACGATCGCTTTTTGACGCAGAGAAATAGTATTTTTGTCATGAAGACAAGACCAGAAAATTCTGAAATCCTCCGTGCACGTGTGTGAAGAATGTATATGTAGTATTCTCCGATTAACATTTAAGTGTGTTGATTGAGCGTGGCTAGCTCAGGAGTGGCCGGAACTACTTGCAGAGTTATCCACACATCTGAAAGACAAGCAGAGAGTGCGTTGCCAAAGGGCAGCGGTCATTATTGTTTTGAGAGGTCCGTTATAGAAAATAATGACCGGTAGAACGTTTTGAAATTACATTCAAATCAATGGAGAATTCTCCTGCTGCTGTGAGGAGCCGTGTAATAAAATTATTTATTTTTGCCGCATTGACCCTGGCAGTGACACTTGCAGAGGGAAGATCATCTGCTGCTGACGATGATCTCAGATCCTCCGTGGTAAAGCACCGGTGGTGGCTAAAAGCATGGTGTGAATGGGGCGTAGGCGGAGCAGGAGCCAGAGCAGGAGCCAGAGCAGGAGCCAGAGCAGGAGCCAGAGCAGGAGCCAGAACAGGAGCCAGAGCAGGAGCCAGAGCAGGAGCCAGAGCAGGAGCCAGAGCAGGAGCTAGAGGGAGCCAGAGCAGGAGCCAGAGCAGGAGCCAGAGCAGGAGCCAGGACAGGAGCCAGAGCAGGAGCTAGAGCAGGAGCCAGAACAGGAGCCAGAGCAGGAGCCAGAGCAGGAGCCAGAGCAGGAGCCAGGACAGGAGCCAGAGCAGGAGCTAGAGGGAGCCAGAGCAGGAGCCAGAGCAGGAGCCAGAGCAGGAGCCAGGACAGGAGCCAGAGCAGGAGCCAGAGCAGGAGCCAGAGCAGGAGCCAGAGCAGGAGCCAGAGCAGGAGCCAGAGGAGGCGATGGGTGTTAAGAGCCTCAGGAAGAGCTGATTATAAGAAAGTGGCTGACTTTATACTGCCCGCTTTGCTGTCAGTGGTTTGGAAAGAGGCTGGCAGAGCTATGTGATTGGCTGAGGCTCGAGGCTGGCAGAGCTGTGTGATTGGCTGAGGCTCGAGGCTGGCCGGGCTGTGTGATTGGTTGGCCTAGATGGGGGGAGTTGCGCTCGGTCTTTCAGGCTTCATAATAATAAATAGTTAATCACAAAAAGAGATACGTGCCTATAGGAGGATCTTTGTTCAAACCTTGTTTATATTTGTTTGACTGGGTGGCAAAATAGCAGCAAGAGCTACCTGGATGTTAGAGAGTTAGCTAATTTTAGATGTTTGGAGAGCCGTTTTAATAAATCAAGTGCCATCCATCCATTTTCTACCCTTTAATCCATTTCTGGGTCAGGGGGGTGGCAATCAGAGATGCCACCCAAGTCTCATAGCACCAGCCCCTCACTGACCCTCTGCAGGTGGTGAGTCCACAGGAGGACGGCTGCTCTCTGACTGTGAGCATAGCCTTGATCTTTCAGTGGGGGCTTTTTGGGCAAAGTGGGGTTAAGTGTCTTGCCCAAGGACACAACGACAGGAGTCATCAGTGGGAGTCGGTGGAGAAGGTGTAGAGGTGGGAATTGAACCCACGAGCTTCTGGCCTTAAGGCCAATGCTCTACCAACTGAGCTACTGTCGCCCTATTAAATCAAGTGGTCCACAAAAAAGGCAATGTTAATATGTTAAAAGCAGCTCAGACTGACAGGCTGTCGACCTTAACAGAGGAAGACACCTTTGCGTTTTCTGGTGCGACGGGGAAAGCAATAGACCCGGCAGAGCTCAGAGACCTGCCCTCCAGATTGAAGCCCCGTGTGACAGAGCCACTGGTTCAGTCCCGGCGTGTTATTCAGGACGTCCCAGTGATGAGTGTGCTTTAGCCTGGCCACGGCCTGTTCCACCGTCGCCATGAGAGGTGACAGCTCTTCAATACCGCGCTGAAGGCTGCAGGTGGCGGTTCCTCTCAGAGACAAAACGTGTTTGCTCTGCCGGGTCATTGGAGCTGACACTACACTGGCTTCTTGACGTGTTCTCCAAATAGTTTTTGAAATACGCCTTTCCGCTACTATCTCGTCTGTGCGGAATCAATCAATGGTTTAGATAAGGTCAGGTGATCAACAGTAGTGGATAGGTTTGAGGCTTGGGGATTTACACAAACACTTACCGGAGTAATTCATTCATAGGGAGAAAATTGCATTGTGTATATCAACAACAAAGCCTGCTTAAATATTCCTGAGTTGTTGATTTCACCTCATGAATCCCTCAGAGCAGCAATTTGTTTAACATAACTCGTGCTCCTGCAGTTATCACAGCGAGGAGCATTTGGTACATTAGGAGGAAGGGTTCAACTTTTACATTTTGGATACTGATGTCAACACATTGCCCAAATATGGACCAATTGCTGTGGAGGTTAAATGCCAGAGTCTATGTCAGATTGTCTTTTTGTTTACATGAAGACGGTGTTTCAGGTGAAATCGTTGAAAAACAGCCTCCAGAGAGGAACAGACAAAAAGTGGTTGTGAAGAAAAAGGTGTGAATTCTCTGCTGCTCTGACCTCGGCACTTTGTGGATTTGGACGCAGTAGAACATAAACAACAATGGCGGATTGTCGGCTAATGCTACATGTGCTTCGCTAACGGAGGAGGATTCTACTCCTTCGTCCAAACCAAACCACAGCTGTAGTTTCTCTATGCTCTCTCTCTGGTCTCTCTGTAGTCTCTCTCTCTGGTCTCTCTCTGGTCTCTCTGGTCTCTCTCTCTGGTCTCTCTCTGGTCTCTCTCTGGTCTCTCTGTTGTCTCTCTCTCTGGTCTCTCTCTGGTCTCTCTCTGGTCTCTCTCTGGTCTCTCTCTGGTCTCTCTGTTTCTCTCTTGTCTCTCTCTGGTCTCTGTCTGGTCTCTCTCTGGTCTCTCTTTCCGGTCTCTTTCTGGTCTCTCTCTGGTCTCTCTCTGGTCTCTCTCTGGTCTCTCTCTGGTCTCTCTTTCCGGTCTCTTTCTGGTCTCTCTCTGGTCTCCCTCTCTGGCCTCTTTCTGGTCTCTTTCTGGTCTCTCTCTGGTCTCCCTCTCTGGCCTCTTTCTGGTCTCTCTCTGGTCTCTCTTTCCGGTCTCTTTCTGGTCTCTCTCTGGTCTCTCTCTGGTCTCTCTCTGGTCTCTCTTTCCGGTCTCTCTCTGGTCTCTCTCTGGTCTCTCTCTGGTCTCTCTTTCCGGTCTCTTTCTGGTCTCTCTCTGGTCTCTTTCTGGTCTTTCTCTGGTCTCTCTCTGGTCTCTGTAGTTTCTTTCCATTTCCACTGCTGCTGTTAGAGAATGATGTTGGTTCTTTCTCGTTTTTGGCCTGAGGAGGATGTTGTTGAGGAAGTGTTCATACTGCGGGAGTCAGGTGTGTCGTGTTGTAAAATTACACTGCCCCCTACTGGCCGCAAGCTAGAACTACATAGTTTCTTGTCACTGTAAACGCTCTGCATTTCGAAGTCTTTGCAGCGTCTCTGTCTAAACAGGGCCTAAAAATAACATCTGTTAAAGCCCCATGTGTTGTTGTTGTTATATTTTTCCTCGTGTAATACTATAAATGAGAATTAGAAATAATTCTCATATATGAACGAAATACTCTGAGCCACAAAGTAAAGGAATGAGTGGTTTGGAGCCATGCAGAAAAAATGAACACAACTGATTATATCCACAAAGACATTGCAGGCGCAGAACTCAAACAAACATTGGGATTTTCATCTTCGCTTCTGAAAGCAAACTCATTCATAAATTAGGCTGCTTAAATTAATATTCAGGAGCAATCTCAAAGTCGGCATCAACATGCAAAGTGTTGAGGACGCATAAGGACAGCTTTTAAAATCTCCTCCTGGCTGCTAATGAGGAAATAAATAGGATATCATTTCAGAGAGATAAATATCCACTTTTGGCTCATATACACACTCAGAGTGAAAAGAAAAACACTGTTTACAGCTCGCTTTTATTCCTGTCTTTTAGCCTTCAGTCCCATCAGTGATAATTATCTTTTACTAAGCGGGTTAATTCCAGTGCTTTGGCTGCTGAAATAAATAATTAGAAACAGCGGCGTGCACACAGTCGGATTCTTTTACCAACTTCACCCTGGTCATAAGACGAACACGATCTCATCTGCCTCTTTTAGGAAAGGCCAAATAATCCAATCAGAATCTCTCCGAATGAATTGCTGTAACCTGATCTTTTTCAACTAGCGCAGAGGATGCTCCATTATCTCCATAAAGAGAAAGAAGACTAACATTTCAAATCTGTTCCTGAGATCCCGGGATTTTCATCAAAAGAGTTTTCATTGCCATTGGATTTATTTCTGAACTTCAAATATGCAGAGAACAAAAGGCTCGGCGTGGACACTCTCAGATAAAGCTGTTTGCGCAATTTACAGCCACAGTGATCTGCCATTCACACCGAGCGACGCAGGTAACGCAATGTAAGCTTAATGTAGAGATATGCACACGTTTGACAGCGTTCAGTTTACACCAGACGCTTCTGTCCCCACGCCCCCTCCCTGTCTCCCCCATGCACATCAGCCACGATACAAGCCCTTCATGTGGTCTCTCCATGGCCTCGCACCGAAATACATTAGTGACATGTTAGTCCCATATGAACCGGCTCAGACTCTGGGGAGCACAGGGACTGGACTCCTGCTGGGACTCTGAGGAGCACAGGGACTGGACTCCTGCTGGGACTCTGAGGAGCACAGGGACTGGACTCCTGCTGGGACTCTGAGGAGCACAGGGACTGGACTCCTGCTTAGTGCCCAGAGTCAGGACTAAACATGGGGAAGCTGCTTTTCAGATTCATGCTGCTAAAATCTGGAACAGTCTCCCTGAAAATGAGAGAGAGGCGTCTACTCTGACAATGTTTAAAACCAGGTTAAAGACTGTTCTGTTTGCCTGTGCGACAACTGAAGGATTTTATTTCTATTTTTAATGCAATGTGGTTATTATTTTTTAATTCCTTGTGTAATTTTAAAGTTTTAATGGTTTTAATTTCTTTTAATGTTTTAATGGTGATTCTGGTGTTATGTGTTGTGTGATGAGTGCCTTGGGTGGTGTGTACTGTGAAGCGCTTTGTGTTGCCCTGTGTATGAAAGGCGCTCTACAAATACAGCTTGATTCATTGATTGATGTGCACAAAATGAAAATGGGAATCAACCCTATTCTTTGCAGCTTGTGCAAAACTCGACCGCTGGTTTGCAGACAGGGACCAGGCATAGAGAACACATCACACCTGTTCTGTCGTCTCTGCACTGGCTCCCTGTCAGCTGTCGTATCCACTTTAAAATGCTGCGTCTGGTTTTTTAATGTCTTTATGGTCTGGTCCCAGCCTACCTGTCCGAGTTGCTGTCCCCTTATACTCTCCCTCCAGACAGATGAGGTCGGGTGGTCAGCTTCTGCTTAGCGTACCCAAATCACGGCCGAAAGCGAGAGGTGACCGGGCTTTCTCTGTAGATGCTCCTAAACTCTGGAACAGAATCAATATTTGTTCTGTTTCTACTATAGCCTTTTACTTTTGTATTTGGGCAGCGATTGTTGTTGTAAATGTGCTATAGAAATAAACTTCACATTGACTAACCCTAACCCTAAACCTAAACCTGTTCTGGGCATTTCACCGGTGGTGGACATTTCCATTACAATGCAAAGCTATTCCGTCCGTACATTTATATCCTGAAGACATGTTGGAAGAGACTGAGGACAACATTTTCAGAAAAACTACCATTTTCTCAACAAGTGGGATTACGTACACACCATAAGCAACGACTCATTTACTTTGACCCAATGATTACACAAGTTGACAGCCAAAAAATGTTCAGGGGTTTCTCAACTGATTCAGACTAATGTTGGTGTTCTGAGTCCGAATATCACATGCATTTGTCTCTATCAGGTCAACTTTTTTAGATACAGCCATAGTGTTACGGATTATGTACGTCTGCGTCATTATGAATTCTGCTTATCAAATTTGATGGAGAAAATAAAAACTGAATGACTTTGGATAAGTTGACTTTTATTTCTTGAGGAAAACGGAAAAAATGTCAATGGTTTTTCAGCTGATGATCTGCAGAAATTTGTTTTTTACGCAAAATTGATTTAAAAAAATATTTCTGTAGCAAAAAATTTCAGACTCAGAGCATCAACATTAGTCTGATTCAGCTGGAAAACCCTGGACTATTTTCAAAACATATTTTTTTGTTACCCAGTGTTATCAAGCTTCGAAACAGTGCATTTCAAATAACACATTAGCGCTTCACTTTCAGATATCACTTTCACTCTAACGTCATTGACCAAAACAATGAAGCCCACGCAATCCACGGAGGACCTCAAATGAAACACCTCAAATCAAATCAAAGTATTTCTGTACAGCTCAAAATCACATCAGAACCTTCTCCAAGGACTTGTAGTGTTTTAGAAATACAAAAATCAAGCCTTCGTTGTTTGTCGATGAGAGAAAAAGACAGATACTGTACAGTGTTTGTATTTATGAAACTAGAAATGCACTGATTGGGATATTTTGGGCCGATACCGATTTTTTGTTCTTGTTGTTTATATATATATTTCTTGGCGGCTTCAGTTTACCGTTTTACCTTCAGCTTCCTGCAGTCACTGTCTCCGCCTCCTTCTTCTCAAACGTCCAATGAGATTCTTTGTTAAATGATTTTCTCGCAGCTCTTAAAATCTCACTGAAATCGTGCAAACTGTGAAATCTGATCTTTCTCTGATACTGTCAAATATCGCCGCACGACCGACGCCATCTTCTTTGCTTCTTCTACAGAGGAAAGTGCACAGACGCCCCCTACTGGTGTCTCTTTGCACACGCGCCACCATCGCCCAATGTCATGTTTATTTGTCGATGGCCGATGATCGTTAAAAAAGGCGAACATCGACCAATACAGATGCTTTTTATGAAATTACTGCGAATGGTTTCAGTGTTTCATGACACACTTGATACAGCTGTTCATTTTCCCCCATTGCTGTTATCCAATTGTTTGATTCAGATTCAGACAACTTTGTTTAAAACCGGGGGCAGTTCATTTAAGAATTTAAGAAGCATAGCGCCTTACATCGTTTTGACGGCGGTCTGGGCTAACATGTAATTTCAACCATTTTAATTGCACGACACCTTTTATCTGGATTTAAGAGATAAGACAAAGTTTATTGTCCCAAGGGAAATTTGCACAGATCTGCAGGAATGATAAAAACAAAAAGGAAGAAGTAGAAAGTCTCTGTTTGGTCAATCAAATCGGCATTATTTGTTATTATTGGCTTTCCTATCATCCATGTTAAAGTAAGAAAATGACATCTCGGGTGAGGTTTTCCATACCCTCCACGTGTTATCTCTGTGACAATCCAAACGGCGTGCGGACGATGGCGGAAAGTTAAGTGCATATTCGATGTCTTATCCGGCCAGTTAAAAGTCTGTTGTCCGCCTCGTCCCTGGAGATGTCGTCGGAGCAGCACGAGTGAGAGCTTTGTGCTTACTGTGGATTAACAGCACACTTTAATCACGAGACGGGCCGCAACACTCAGTCCGAGCGCTGTGCAGACTGATCATCCATCAATCCCTCAGCCCTCGCCACTCCACACCACCACTCACTCTTTAAATTAATTTGCACATTTTTTCGCTGCCTCCACCTCCAGTCTCAGTAAGTGATATCTGCACTCCAATCTCACTTGAAAACTCCATCAAATATTTACAAAGGCAACACAAACCTGCATTTATTTCAGTCCCCTTTTTCATCCCGAGCACAGCGCACCAATCAGCCTTGATCTGTTTAAAGCCTCGGGGGAGTCTTCCACAAAGAAACAGGCATCTCTGAAACCCGTAAATGTTCCCGCTACTGAATCAGTTATGCTCCGTGGAACTGCAGTGCAAGGCTGTTAATATTACACTAATTCTGGGATTGCAACTCAGCCTGGGAGTCACGAGCAGCCGTACTCTTTGTTCTGATCTGAAAACAGGATTGCTGTTGGAACAGTTACAATTAGCTGTTGGTTATTATATGGAGGATGCAGATCTATTTTGAAAGACCCAAACATACAATTAGTTTGAAATGTATAAAGTCACAAGATGTATTTATTTCTTTGAAGATATATAGAAATAACAGTTTAAACTGATGCTAGTTTTCAACTCCAGTCCTTGGCAAAGTGTGGAGATGGCGTCTAAAGACATATACAGTACATTTTAAGATAAGATAAGACAGACTTTATTGATCTCACACACGAGAAATGTACGTGTATCGATTGGCACAGATAGAATCACTCAGACTTGTGCAAAAGACAGAAGTGAAACATGGTAAAGGCAAAAAATACAGTCTGTGCAGGATACATTATGTACGATACAAAGTGGCAAAAAAAGAAACAGTGGCAATAATAATGCGAGTTTTTAGTCCTAGTGCAAGTGACTTGTTGTACAGTCTGACAGCAGTGGGGATAAAGGCCCTGAGGTAGTGCTCCTTATTGCACTGAGGTGTCTCAGTCTTCCACAGAAGGAGCTCCTCTACAGTCCAGTGCAGTGGGAGGTTTTCTCCTGAAGTCGATTACCATCTCCTTGGTCTTGCTGGTGTCAGCACAGGTACCATCTCCTTGGTCTTACTGGTGTTAGCACAGGTACCATCTCCTTGGTCTTGCTGGTGTTAGCACAGGTACCATCTCCTTGGTCTTACTGGTGTTAGCACAGGTACCATCTCCTTGGTCTTACTGGTGTTAGCACGGGTACCATCTCCTTGGTCTTACTGGTGTTAGCACAGGTACCATCTCCATGGTCTTACTGGTGTTAGCACAGGTACCATCTCCATGGTCTTACTGGTGTTAGCACAGGTACCATCTCCTTGGTCTTACTGGTGGTAGCACAGGTACCATCTCCTTGGTCTTGCTGGTGTTAGCACAGGTACCATCTCCTTGGTCTTACTGGTGTTAGCACAGGTACCATCTCCTTGGTCTTGCTGGTGTTAGCACAGGTACCATCTCCTTGGTCTTACTGGTGTTAGCACAGGTACCATCTCCTTGGTCTTACTGGTGTTAGCACAGGTACCATCTCCATGGTCTTACTGGTGTTAGCACAGGTACCATCTCCATGGTCTTACTGGTGTTAGCACAGGTACCATCTCCTTGGTCTTGCTGGTGTTAGCACAGGTACCATCTCCTTGGTCTTACTGGTGTTAGCACAGGTACCATCTCCTTGGTCTTACTGGTGGTAGCACAGGTACCATCTCCTTGGTCTTACTGGTGTTAGCACAGGTACCATCTCCTTGGTCTTACTGGTGTTAGCACAGGTACCATCTCCTTGGTCTTACTGGTGTTAGCACAGGTACCATCTCCTTGGTCTTACTGGTGTTAGCACAGGTACCATCTCCTTGGTCTTACTGGTGTTAGCACAGGTACCATCTCCTTGGTCTTACTGGTGTTAGCACAGGTACCATCTCCATGGTCTTACTGGTGTTAGCACAGGTACCATCTCCTTGGTCTTACTGGTGGTAGCACAGGTACCATCTCCTTGGTCTTACTGGTGTTAGCACAGGTACCATCTCCTTGGTCTTACTGGTGTTAGCACAGGTACCATCTCCTTGGTCTTACTGGTGTTAGCACGGGTACCATCTCCTTGGTCTTACTGGTGTTAGCACAGGTACCATCTCCATGGTCTTACTGGTGTTAGCACAGGTACCATCTCCTTGGTCTTACTGGTGGTAGAGCACAGGTACCATCTCCTTGGTCTTACTGGTGTTAGCACAGGTACCATCTCCTTGGTCTTACTGGTGTTAGCACAGGTACCATCTCCTTGGTCTTACTGGTGTTAGCACAGGTACCATCTCCTTGGTCTTACTGGTGTTAGCACAGGTACCATCTCCATGGTCTTACTGGTGTTAGCACAGGTACCATCTCCTTGGTCTTACTGGTGGTAGCACAGGTACCATCTCCTTGGTCTTACTGGTGTTAGCACAGGTACCATCTCCTTGGTCTTACTGGTGTTAGCACAGGTACCATCTCCTTGGTCTTACTGGTGTTAGCACAGGTACCATCTCCTTGGTCTTACTGGTGTTAGCACAGGTACCATCTCCATGGTCTTACTGGTGTTAGCACAGGTACCATCTCCTTGGTCTTACTGGTGGTAGCACAGGTACCATCTCCTTGGTCTTATTGGTGTTAGCACAGGTACCATCTCCTTGGTCTTACTGGTGTTAGCACAGGTACCATCTCCTTGGTCTTACTGGTGTTAGCACAGGTACCATCTCCTTGGTCTTACTGGTGTTAGCACAGGTACCATCTCCATGGTCTTCATCAGGTGGGAGGTCAGTACTGGTCTGTAGTGAGCCGGTTCCTTGGCGCTGTTTCAGGTACCACAGGAGGTCTTCCACAGGACAGGGACCTTCTCCAGACTGAGGCTCAGGTTGTACATGTAGCTGACTCTGCACAGATCCTCAGCAGAATTGTATATTATTATTATTATTAATATATATTAGTAGCTACAATAAAACAGGATAAATTGTATATTTCATTAATATCTACAGCAAAGAAAAAGTGACAACTCATATTTGATTCAGAGGTTTGATTAAAATGTCCAAATAAAAGGTTTTGAATGCCAACAACATTATAGACATGCACTCATGGTCATGGTCCTCTGGCAGGTGCTGGGTCCACAGGAAACGGACTGTTGCTCCGTTTGCATTGATCGCCTTCACACAGTACAGCACAACCTTCAGGCCCAAAGGCTGAGAATAAAACTCTGATTGTGTTATTATACGCACCCTGCAGCGTCTTGTACCTGCAGCAGTGGACTTCATTAAGAGCTCTAAATCCTGTCATTGATACAGATACTAGGATTTAGTTTCAACCCTATATACTTTATTTTCCATTATTCAGAATCCATATTGTGCACTATTGTATTCCAGATTCATGTGGTTGAAGATAGGACGGCTTTGGATTAAACGGAGAAAAACGTGTTGAAAATGTACTGAATGCCTGCGCTCTCTCCTCGTATCCAATACGTGCATAAACATTGAATAAGATGAAAAATATAATTAGAATGCAAATGTGTATTCAAGTTCAGACAAAGTCATTTATCTTTTATTTCAAGCAAGCGGCGACAGATAAGCATCCCCTGTATTACACATCTGTTGGTTATTTCTTGATGCGTTGTAAAGTCTCCCTCTTGAGGCTTTGCTCTGAAGTAAAACTAGCCCAGTATCCCGCGTTTGATGGCCTTAAATGAAGCCCGTAGTGGGACCGGGCTGGTTCCGACCCATGAGTATCCAGTCTCAGTGCAGTCCTGGGAGATAAAGCTCAAACTCAGATGCACAGAAAATCCCTACATGCCAAGTCTTGTGTCACCGCAAGCTCATTAAATTCCTGCACTGGCGTTGGTTTTTCCACTTTACTGCTTGGGAGACGCGGCTTCCTCCTCGGAGACGTACAGCGACTGGGGGCCGGCGAGATGTGCACGGAGCCCAATTTGTCAAAGGTCCAGGGGGAAGGGTCTTCAGCAGCTCTGGCCTTCTCCTCTTCATCTTCTGTGAGCGCTCCTTTAGTCCGGCTCACATCTCTGTTAACATCCGCACCCCTGCCCCCTCCCGCTGTCTGCCCTGTCTCTGCAGGCGGCAAAACATCACAATGTTGCTTCTGAAAGTTCCTCGAAAAGAAAATTCAGAAATGTTTGTATTTACACTTCTTGGTCTGGTTCAGATCTGTTGCTGTTCTGTTTCAAATGATGTAAACTGACTGAAGCAACTGGTGGGCATGTGTTTGGTTTTACATGCAGAAACTAGAAGAGCACTTGTAGAGCGCAGAACTCCTCCTTGAAGGGCAGTTCTAGCCTGGTCTTACCGCACCATTGTACGGATTTCATTTGGTAATACGGTCTGGATTTGCTCCATTGACTCCGTTAACAGGTGGGAGGGGTTAACTCCTTTTGCAGATTGAAACGATTGGATCTGAGTTCACTGTGACGTATGTAATGAGCCCGAGTGAGTGACACATTTAGCATTTAGCCTAGCTTTAGCATGTAGCCTAGCTTTAGCCATCTCCTTTGCCACTGACGGAGCCCGTGGGGAGTAGAGCCACAACATCTCTGCTTCAGTGACATTTACTAAACATTCCTCTTGCTCCGGCTTCAGTTTCTTGATGTTTGGATTGAACCAGAACAGATTATTTTACTATCGCATTCTCCGACAAACTACAACCAACAAATTCAGCACAAACTCTTGACGTCACCGACACAGACCTACAACACCCGCCTCCCCCGCTCTCTGATTGGTCGGAGGGGATTCAACCGAGGAAACTGCAGCCACTAGGATCAGACCCAGACGTACATGTAGGAAATGATCATGGACCAGAGTTTACACATGGTAAGACCAGACGTACATGTAGGAAATGATCATGGACCAGAGTTTACACATGGTAAGACCAGACGTACATGTAGGGAATGATCATGGACCAGAGTTTACACATGGTAAGACCAGACGTACATGTAGGGAATGATCATGGACCAGAGTTTACACATGGTAAGACCAGACGTACATGTAGGGAATGATCATGGTCCAGAGTTTACACATGGTAAGACCAGACGTACATGAAATGATCATGGACCAGAGTTTACACATGGTAAGACCAGACGTACATGTAGGAAATGATCATGGACCAGAGTTTACACATGGTAAGACCAGACGTACATGTAGGAAATGATCATGGACCAGAGTTTACACATGGTAAGACCAGACGTACATGTAGGAAATGATCATGGACCAGAGTTTACACATGGTAAGACCAGACGTACATGTAGGAAATGATCATGGACCAGAGTTTACACATGGTAAGACCAGACGTACATGTAGGAAATGATCATGGACCAGTTTACACATGGTAAGACCAGACTTGGGCAGTCCCATTCCTTTGAAAATAACTACATCATCTTCTATATTGAATCCGTTGTACACTGGGCCATTGCACACATTTCCTGAAAACATCCAAATCCTCCCAAAACCTTTTTGAGTTATTTTGTTCTGAACAAACAGACATCTGCCAGTGATCACTTTAGTGGCAGGTAATACACAAAAGTTGGCCCCAAGTGAACCAGAATAGGTCTGGTTAAAGTGAGCCAGACCAACAGGTATGCCATAGGGAGCAGTAGGACTTGGTTTTATAAAAGCAGTACAGTATATAATCATATTTAGCTTGAGTGTTATTGCTTTGTCGATTTAAGTTGATTTTAGAGAATCTCCTGTGGTGATTTTTCAACATCATATTCTCAACAATTATAAAGCAAGAGAGCATAAACATTGTCTTTATCACGACAAAGAAAATGTGCTCCTACAATTTCAATGCATTCCTTAAACAATCTTTAACCAAAACATAATTAATCATAATAATGTTCTTATCTTTTTCACAATAAAAAGAGGAAAGTTTTTTATTTGACAGAAAAGCCTCTTGGCATTTGGAATCATGTGACAGTCGGTCAGGCTGTCGCTTTTCTTGGTGACCCCGGTGGAAATCCAGCCACTTCCAGATTTGACAGCGGCAACAACAACAATCCCAGCAGGGACATGGAAGAAAACACTGTATCAAAATAAACTGCTTTATTATATGACTTGGATCGTACGCGCGCTCTGATTGGCTGATTTGCGGTCTGATATTAAACCATCTCGGACCGTTACCATGACAATCGGTCTGCAGCGCATATCTAATTTGATATCTTTCCTCTGTAAAAAAAGAAATAATGAGCGACGACTGGGAAGTAATAACAGCAAATAACGACGAAAACACAACTCCTCACAGTCAAGAAGAGATTGACAACTTGGTTACAGATCAGAAAGGTCAAAACAGGATCAGGAAAACCAAGTCGGACATGAACATACTTCACAAATATCTAAAAAGCATTGGCAAAGACACAGAAGAGATCGAGAACTTACAGCGGATAAGTTCTTCATGTCACAGTTTGACAGTTTGGTTGCATGTGTTTTTGCTAGTGTTGAAACCGATAAATTAAAAAATAGTCATATAATAAAACAATTATTAACCTGGCTTGTTCGGTCTGTACAGAGAAATATCAGGTCTTTTTGCACAGCTCGTTTAATAAGCTGTTTGTATCAAAAAAATAAAAAAAATAATCTTCTATACAATTTCTGGTTGTTAAAATGCCAGACGTTGCGGCTCGGCGGACGTGTGTGCCTTGTTGGGTCTTGTGATAAACATGGCTGCAGTTGAAAGGTCTCCTGTGCGGACCATTGGAGGTGTTCTCCCAGTACCAGATGTGCAACAGCTGGACTTCACTAATACACATCAGCTCAGGGGCAGGTGGTCTCTTGCTCCGTCGCCTCGGTCGCCCGTCATCCCTCCTAGACACCTCTGCTGATTGGCTCTCGTTTGCGTCGTTTGCCTAATGCCGTCATTTCTCCAGCGGTGAAAAAGCCGGCGGACGGACAGAACAGGGTCAGAGCGAGAGAGCGAGAGGTAGGCCCGGGTGAAGCCAAAGCCCATTCCTCACTGCTCGACAAGCGGCTGTGTTCCACCTGAAACGCCTTTGGATTTACGCTGTGAACTGCAGCCATCTTTCTTGCGTTAATCACCTCGGGGCTGGGTGCTCCGACTCGCCACGTCCCCGGGCCGATGGATGACCCGCAGGGGAAATCGAATGGAAACCAGCCAAGCCTGACGCTCCTCAAGTACTTTCTAGGTCCCACACTGTGAGACGGCAAAGTAATGCTATGTGTGCTACCGGTAGAGACTCAGTGTGTTGTTGTAATCTGGAACTCCGATGATTGCTCGGTCGTAGATGTTTCATTTTACTCTGCACATGTCGTTAGCTCTGCAGTCTGTGGAATTGGATTTATTTGTCTGCAGGAAATGATAGTCGGAAAATAGATACCAAAAATAACAGTAAATGCACAAGCAATAAGAGCGTTACTGATTCATTGATTCTTCCATCATCTTCAGCTTTTTACTATTGTGTATCGCAAGTGGCTCCAGCTATTTCCGGCAAAGCAGCACCTGGTCGTCCAGAGAAGTCTGTGGAAGGGATCTCTATTGGGCGTTCTACTGGTTTGTGATCGCAAGAGGCGTCGATGGAGCAGATGTGTTTTTGCATCCATCAGTCTATAATAATAACCATAATAATAATAATACACATAATACTGCATTAGCTTTTATGCTCTCTCCAAAGCTACTTCAACATTGCAGTACTCATTCGCCCCATTGATGCTAGTGAATGAGTAATGGAGGTAATGTCATGGTGTATTTGGTTTTATTTTGATATTAGTGGTCGTTGTAGAACAGCAGCCGGAAACCCACCTCTGTAAATCAGGGGTCTCCAGTAGCTACCACCCCCTTCCAGGTAGCTCGCCAAAAGATTTAACAATGAAAAACTCAAATACTATGCTAATTTTTCAGATTGTATTATTCATTATCAATATTGTGCACTAGTAACAAATGTCTGATGATAAATAATGACTGAACCCAATATCAGGCTTGTCGACACTAATATATCAAGCATTTTTTACCCAGGGGCGCTTAAAGGAGTAGCTCTCTGTCGTCCCGGGAAAGACAGGGTTATTTTTTGTGTTTGGGGAAACCAGAGCACCAGTAAGAAACCCACGCATACACGGGGAGAACATTCAAACTCTACTCAGAAAGACCCTGTTCTGACTTGGATTCGAACCCAGGACTTTCTATGGCGCCGTTAGCTTCTGAGCGCTGACGGGACCAGGCTTTCACATGCAGGTGGCGCCACGTAATGTTGTTAACCAGTCTCAAATATTAGCTAGAAAAAAGTACAGTGCTCTTTCTCAAACCGAGTGCTATTCTCCAGATCCTGACTTAATTTGTGCGTCAGAACCAGATGGATTGCATTATGCACTCACCATAAGGGAGGAATGACCAATAAAGGCATGGTCATGTCCATATAGGCTCAGTAATGACGCTAGCAGGTAATTTCAACAGCTAATGTGCTTCTCACACCCGTTCTATTCCCCACGCACTAAACACGCATTTGCTTTGAGTCCAGCCATTTCTTCCATTTTCCTCTGCCAAGTGCTAATGACCGGGGTTTGTATGAGGAATTATCAGTTGGAATCATTTGGGTGGGCTCCCCGGCAACAGGACATTACCATTCATTTTACATGTTCAGCCCTTTTTTAATACTTGCTCATCATTCTAATAACAACGGAGAGCTGGTGAGTGCTTCTAATGGCCCTGTCAACACGGAATAATTACTGTTGTCAGCGGCTGAAGTGAATAGCCCTGCTCACTTAGGATTGCATTGAAAATAATTGTGCAGAATAAGGACGGTTACAGTCAAAGTTCGCACGAAGAGAAATGAAAACGTGGGCTTGCGATCGTTAGTATTGTACGTCATGTCTGTGAGGTTGCCCGGATGAGGTTTTTTTGTAAATTGACCACTTAACATCAATTAATAACCTTGTTTCAGAGAATATGAGTGAGGACAAAAAACATGTTTAGGTTGTCGGGTAAAACTATTTAATCGTACAACATCTTTTTTAAATCTTAATGTCAACAGAAAGTAGTCAAATGACCCTGATCAAAACATATATCTTACCTGCCTGTGAACGCCTGTCAGACCTCTGAAGCTAAGCTGTGCAGGGCCTGGTTAGCACTGTGATGGGGGATCTCTGGAAACAGCAGGTGCCACGGTGGGGCGGCAGCGGCTGGAAAGTGCTACACTGTGGTTGTGTCCTTAGGCAAGACACTTCCCCCACATTAGAATGAGTCTGGTGTGTGTGTGTGAGTGGTTGGTGGTGGTGGGAGGGGCCGATGGCACAGACTGGTTGCCTCGCTTCTGTCAGTGTGCCCCAGGGCAGCTGTGGCTACAATAGTAGGTCATCCCCGCTGTGTTTGGAGAGAAAGAGTAATGAAATGTGAAGCGTCTTTGAGTGTCCAAAAAAGATCTCTCTGGAACAATCTCCAGTTAAACAGATTACTTTGTCACTTTTCATCTATCCATGATTTGTTTTCTATGAGGGGTTTTTGTTTAATGTAAAATATATCCATAATTTACAATATAAATGTATAATGTATTATCACACAGCTCCTCACAGCAGCAGAACGCTTCATTGATTTGAATGTGATTTCAAAACGTTCTACGGGTCATTATTTCTTTATAACCACCCTCTCAAAACAATAATGACCGCTGCCCTTTGGCAACGCACTCTCTGCTATACATTATACATATACATTCTTAACACACGTGCACGGAGGTTTTCAGAAGTATCTGTAGAGGTTTTCATGACAAAAATACTGTTTTAATGCGAGAAAAAAAAATCCGGGACATTTTAGGAACATTTGCAGAGGATTGAATTATGGATTTAGGTGAAGTTTATGTTTGGGTCACTCACCGCTGATGTTCAGGATTCTGTGTTCAGTTTTCATGCAGTTCCAGAGAGTTTTAGTTTGGAAGTTACTAGCATAACTGTTACTAGCCTAACTGTTACTAGCCTAGCCTAACTGTTACTAGCCTAACTGTTACTAGCCTAGCCTAACTGTTATTAGCCTAACTGTTACTAGCCTCTGTTACTAGCCTAACTGTTACTAGCCTAACTGTCACTAGCCTAACTGTCACTAGCCTAACTGTTACTAGCCTAAGTAAGTAAGTTTTTATTTATATACCGCCTTTTCACTGCAGATCTGAGTCTCAAAGCGGTTTACAATTGTTATTTTTGGGCATTTGTCTCTCACTCCACACAGAGATGGGAGCGGGGCCAGTACAGGAGGCGCATGCTAGAACTATTGGACATATTTTTAGTGGTAGGGGAAACCAGAGTACCCGGAGGAAACCTACGCAGACACGGGGAGAACATGCAAACTCCACTCAGAAAGGCCCTGGTCCGACCGGGATTCGAACCCAGGACCTTCTTGCTGAGAGGCGAGAGTGCTATCCACTCAGCCACCGTGCCGCCTAACTGTTATTAGCCTAACTGATACTAGCCTAACTGTTACTAGCCTAACTGATACTAGCCTAACTGTTACTAGCCTAACTGATACTAGCCTAACTGTTACTAGCCTAACTGTTACTAGCCTAACTGTTGCTAGCCTAACTGTTACTAGCCTAACTGTTACTAGCCTAACTGTTACTAGCCTAACTGTTACTAGCCTAACTGATACTAGCCTAACTGTTACTAGCCTAACTGTTACTAGCCTAACTGTTACTAGCCTAACTGTTACTAGCCTAACTGTCACTAGCCTAACTGTCACTAGCCTAACTGTTACTAGCCTAACTGATACTAGCCTAACTGATACTAGCCTAACTGTTACTAGCCTAACTGTTACTAGCCTAACTGTTACTAGCCTAACTGTTACTAGCCTAACTGATACTAGCCTAACTGTTCCTAGCCTAACTGTTACTAGCCTAACTGTTACTAGCCTAACTGTTACTAGCCTAACTGATACTAGCCTAACTGATACTAGCCTAACTGTTACTAGCCTAACTGTTACTAGCCTAACTGATACTAGCCTAACTGTTACTAGCCTAACTGATACTAGCCTAACAGTTCTTCTTAAGAGTGGACTGACGTTTATTTTGTGTGTTCTCTCGGTACAAAGCCGTATAATACCAAGTGCAATTAACTCATTAATTATCTCATGATTTTCCAGACAAAACTAAGTGTTTTTTTGATGCTGTGTATCTGTTTGTTGCTATGGAAACGCCCAGTTGGTCTTTCTTGGATTACGTGACAGGTTGATTAAACCAATCAAGCGTGAACTTTCAGAATCAGCTAAAATGTTCATTATTCTCTAGGCTAAATTACTATCCACAGTGTGTTTATCTTAATTGTGTCATGGCCCAGCCTGGTGTGATGTTTGTGGAGATTTACATACACAAGCACGGCGCTCTGTTCATTAAAGTCTGACGGTAGATGGCGGCGGCGTTCTCACAGATGTGCTGCCGTTACTGCGCTTTGGAACGGCACCTCATTGAGCCATCAGTGTCAGAATGCTCATTTAATCACAACACTAATCGCAGCTTGTAATCCAATTCATCTTGTGTCATTTACTAACTAATAACTATCTGAATGTGTGTGACAGCAGTCATCCCCGAAGAGGTGCTGCTGATATCAGTTTAATGCTTTTGTGCAGGTGTTTCATATTTTGTCTGTCTGTCTCTCTCTGTCTGTCTGTCTCTGTCTCTCTCTCTCTCTCTGTCTCTGTCTCTCTCTGTCTGTCTGTCTCTGTCTCTCTCTCTCTCTCTGTCTCTGTCTCTCTCTCTCTGTCTGTCTCTGTCTCTCTTTCTCTCTCTCTCTGTCTCTCTCTCTCTGTCTGTCTCTGTCTCTCTCTGTCTCTGTCTCTCTCTCTGTCTCTGTCTCTCTCTCTCTGTCTGTCTCTGTCTCTCTTTCTCTCTCTGTCTCTGTCTCTCTGTCTCTCTCTGTCTCTCTCTCTCTGTCTCTCTCTCTCTGTCTGTCTCTGTCTCTCTCTGTCTCTGTCTCTCTCTCTGTCTCTGTCTCTCTCTCTTTCTCTCTCTGTCTCTCTCTCTCTCTCTGTCTCTCTCTGTCTGTCTCTCTCTCTCTCTCTGTCTCTGTCTCTGTCTCTGTCTCTCTCTCTC